GGGGGGGGGACTTTGGCTATACCTATGGGTGCACTGATTTCCTATATTTGATTCCTTGAACCCCTTTTTGGATTGATCATTCCAGTCCTGAAGATTTTGTCATTAAACAATAAATTATATTACGTACTATGGTCTAGCTATCAGTATTCAACTAATGAAAATACAGTTTCTTGGGGAAAAAAAAAAGGAAAACATTATTATGGATTGTAATCAATTGTAACTAAGCTGATTTTAGATAAGACCTTTTACTTTCCAGTTATATAAAAACAAAAAAGAAAGAGGGAAAATAAAAAATTTATCATAATTTAAATATGAAGAAAATAATGGCAGTACAAACCTGGACGTATAAGAGAGTATTAAAATTCTGTTTGTCAGTAACATTACACTTGATTAGATCTTTTCTGATGGGAGAAACATGGGGATTTCCCTTCCAATAAGCAAAGGGTACTCTATCCTTCCATTTGGTTATTTCGTTACCTTGTTTTATGTCCTTAATCACACTTCTCCATGGCTTTATATTTGTCTCTGCCCTATAAAATTTAATAAGCAAAAATAATCATGTTTAAAGTCTTCGTGTCCAATTTGCAATTAGTAGCGTCGAAACTGAATTTTCCTTGACAGGAATACACGTAGCGCATAAAAGTCAATATTTTCTTGTATCAGTTTTATACTCAAAAAATCTTTGTGCAAAAGCCTTGCCTAGGTTAGGCAAAAATATAATAAAATATTACTTATGCCACATGCATGATCAAAGTCGTAATTAATTGGAAGACTTCAACCAATAATTCAATATTTACGTCAATGACAACACTAATTATGTATTGTTTCTCAAACAAGAACATAACGATTTCATGAAATCGGGGTATTGGGTTATGTAGAATTGGCCTTTCCTACAAGGTTATACTCCCTTCGACACTAAAAGTAAATTTTCACTTTTACTTGTTCAACTTGAAAAAATAATAGATATTTTACCATTTTACACTTCTTATTATATACAGTCAAACTTCTCTATTTTGTTCCGAATATTTTTGGATGTTATAGCGAAGTGCTGGTATAGAGAACATATATTATAACATAATATGAAATTTGATTGCGAAAAAGCTTGGCTTTTATCGTGAATTATAATATAGATGATATTATATAGATGTCTGACTGTACTATTTATTTCGAATTCATTTTCCAATATATAATTATAGGGATGAGATAGTAAAATTATCATGTTTTTTGTTGTTTTCTAGAATGTGTCAGGTCAATAATGGACAAGTAAACTTGGAGGAAAGGAATAGTTTGGAACAAAAGTACTCAGTCTCTTTAGCCAAAAAAAAATGTTATTTTAGAAAACAAAAAATGCATTAATCTTTTTCTAATTCCAACCTTACTACTCCAAGAAGGCAGTCAAGGCACCATATTCAGTAGTTACTCATTTAAGTAAGATATAACGGTAATTTAGTCAAATAAACCTTATAATTAATGAGATTTCAATTAACTTGCTTAATGGGTGTGTCAAAACTTTAGACTACAGAAAATAAAAAGGATCGGTAGCAAAATAGTTGAGAGTAAACGAAGGTTACCAGCCCCAAAATGACCAATCTGGGAAGACAATATCCAAACTATGCCAATCTGAACAGTAGCGAAACAACGGCGGAGGACCGGAGTTAGGTTGCCGGTAGTCCTTTGATCGGATAACCGGCCGGTCATCGGTGTCAAACATGATCTCCAAATTAGGCAATTTTCCAGGATACCACCTTAGGAGTTGTATAATCCCATACATTGTGTACAAATGTCTAGTCTGAATAAATCTCTTTGTATTGTATTTCTCAACATAAATATTTCCATCCAATATAATTAATCTGAAATGTGCATGCCTTTTGGCTTTCTCCACCATTTCCCTAGTAATTCCTGTCTCTTTCCAAGGCTTTAAATCTTCGTAAATCCATCTAAAATACTCAGGACACGTTGAGCTATTAGGGTTTAAGGGTTTATAGGATTTAGGATAGTTTCTTGGACATGTATTGGACTGATTCCATGCACCACAATCCAAAGGGAATTCAAGAATTTGGGGTTGAATTATTGGGCCTTCTGCTTTTTGATAGGAATGACCAGTATATTTTGCCTGTATACATTTAAAGAAATCATAATTAACCAAACTCAGTGGAAATTAAATCGATCAGCTTTTAATTTATTTAAGGAGTATTGATTAAGAAGCATCAAAAAACAGAAATAAAAAGAACTGCCATGCATTTATTTTCATAAACAAATTGTACCATATATGCATAGAGCTTCAAATTAGAAGAAAAAAATGGTACTGATGAAATTCATGAAACCAAGGTTCATTCCAACAAAAGATAATGCACCTTATATCAATTTTTATATTTTCTAACTACGTATATATGAAAAGTCAATTTTTTTCTTTGATGGCAATTTTCAAATATTGTAGTACCAGTTTTTTTTTCAGTGTAATTTCTAAATGCGTTGATTTTATTTTTAACCATCATTTAAAATAAAAGAAATAAAATAAAGAAATATGAGTTGAGTGATAGGATAGATCTAGACTAGTAATAAGGATGTACAAACCTAGCATATCTAACTTATTTAGTAATATTTGATTTATTTGTATACACTGTTGTCGTCCCTTATTGTAAGGATATCCCATGCATATCACATCCCAACTCAAGTATAATTGTACTTGTATAAATATCACACTTTGTATTAATAATAAACCAAGTCCTTGATGAATATCAAATACATATACTAAATAGAGGAGCAGCGAATTTATTTTTAAAAAAATTACAAGCATAGTTGACTGAGCTATTTGATTACATGTCTTTTAATGCCAGTTACATATACGCATTAAAATGACATTAAGGTAAATATACAAACAAGAGCATATATACAGTGAAATTGTAGAGGTAAATATATAAAGGAGAGTGAGCGTTGTTCACATTGACTTACAAGATCAAACCATCCAGCCAAGGACGAGATAGAAACTGCAAGTAGAAAGAAGAAAAGCAGCAATGATATAGCTTTCTTTTTCAGATATTTCCATTTGGCTCCCACCACTGAATTCTTTTGGAAACCTGGCCTTAGCCAGAAATCATTCATCAATTTCTCATTCCTCACTTTCATGATTTCGACTATATATATATATATATTGCTATAAACACCTACTTATTACTTATCAGAATAGACTTAAGAGACCTGAAGATTTTCTTCTGCTTCTTTTCCTCCAAAAAGATTCAAGAAAATATCAGTTCTCGCAAATCATATAGTATAAGATAGAATACGATAGAAATTAGTTCTCTTTTTATGTTTTTTGGGTGAAGGGTGGTGTTGTGGTTGGAGGAAAAGAGCTATTTTTTTCACAAGAACTGACTGTGCATTAATACAAGTAACTTACCAAATTGATGGTTTTAAGGAGGAAGGTGTGGAATTGTAAGAAAAATTAATGAGAATAAAGTAGTAATTAAGTAATAGTCTTGGTTGTCACATGTGTTATGGGGTTTCTGAGTTGAAACTGATCATGCAGAAGTCTGGAACTAACTTCTTAATCAAGTGTTGAACAATACACTAAATAACACGCATTTAATTAAGACCCGGAATTTTCTGATTTCTTTGCCGTTTAATGTAAGTTAGTCTTCAATTTGAAAAGAAAATTCCACGCCAAAATTCAAAGAAAATACTGAAGTGTTAGCTAGCTAGAGGTGCTAATAGGACAAATTTTGATTGAGAAGTACATGTCCAAGTCTGACTCAGTCTAAGTCTTGGCTATGCACCTTATTCTCAAGGAAAAGTATGTAACTCTTGTGCAAATTTAATTTATAACAATGGTGCCTGATCCAGTTCGTGTGTGCATTTAAATTATTCCTTCGAAATATTTATTACCATTCAACACAAGTAGTGACGAAGTAGCCCATCGAGACTTAGGTAGAGAAAAAGTATAATTAAGGAATTTTTATGTATTTCATTGTATTCACTGTCTCGTTATATGCCATGAATGTATTCATATATTTTTTTTTAATTAATATAATTTATGTATTGAGATGTACTATATAATTTCTCTGAAGATTGCTATGTTTTTGGGGTATTTTTCGGTTAAGAATCATTTTTATAACTGGAAATAGAAATTTTGTGTGTTATAATTGAGTTTGTTGAGTTATATTAGGAGTCTATTATGTTAATTGATTCACTTTCTGTTTAAAAATAGTGCAATCCCCTGTTTCACGCCGTGAATACAGTCGAATACATTCGAATACAATAATCTGTCCAGTTGTAATCCCATGTTTCACGCCATGAATACAGTCGAATACACTCGAATACAACAACTGATTAGCTGGACTTCCCTGATTCACGCCTATTTTTGCTATTGTATTCATGAATACAGTAGCTTAAATACATTTAATACATCTTATAACAACAGAAAACGTATCTACAATCCGTAATATAGCAAATGGTATCTATAGATAGCTAATTACCACTAAAAGATAGTGCTTTATAAAAAAAAATTTATCTCCTATAGCAAAGGTTGATACCTTATTTATTTTAAATAAATACCCTTTTAAAAAATTATATTCCATAGCTACCTTTTGATTTTTATAGCCAAATATCTATTTATGGTTACCTCCTACCCTTAAGCCATAAAATACTTTTTGTATTATTTTTCTCTCTCATTCTTTCAGATTTTTCTCCACCCTCTCTCTCTCTCAACGCCAATCTTTCTCCATAGAAGATAAACTCGTCGAAAAAGTACTATATTAAAGTGTATCCAACTCCTTTGCCGTCGTCAACCCTCTTCGGCTCCGATTCTCGTTCTCATCAAAATGGCGACGTCAAAATTTTATTACGAGAAGCTGCAAAATGTGTGTAATTGAGGGGAGGCTTATGCTTGATGGGTTTGGTAAAAGTTGTTAATGGGGAAGAAAAATAGTGGCACTAAACAGAAGCTGCCATTGAATTTACAAGTAGTTACTATTAGGTTTGTTCTCTCATAACTTTGCTTTTTATTGCCGGAATAGTATCACAATAACGGGAACAATGACGTTTCGAGTCAGAATCGCGACCCTCTCGACGAGACGACATTAGGGTTGTTCTTGAACAAAGACGACGGAGTTTGGGGCTGAGCAAATTGAAGATCCTGTTACCTTTTTTTTAAAGTGTATTTCAATGTATCTTGTTGTATTTCCATGTATTTCATTGTATTCATTATTTTTTAATTGTATTTCAGTATATCCCATTGTATTCCATGTATTTGATTGTATTCACTGTCTCGCTATATTCCATGAATGTATTCATATAATTTTTTTAATTAATATAATTTATGTATTCAGATGTATATATGTATTCAAATGTATCTGCAGTATGTATTCATATGTTTTTGCACTATAGATGACCTGCTATACTTCATGTATTCAACGTATTTTTATGTATTTTAACTATATTCAATGTAATTATATAATTTCTCTGAAGATTGCTATCTTTTTAGGGTATTTTTCGGTTGAGAATCTTTTTTATAACAGGAAATACAAATTTTGTGTGTTATAATTGAGTTTGTTGAGTTGTATTATGGGTCTATTATGTTAATTGATTCACTTTCCGCTTAAAAACAGCTGAATAGACCATGAATTGCCCCGTGAGTACAGTCGAATACAATCGAATACAATAATCTGTCTAGCTGTAATCCCCTTTTCACGCAGAAAAATGCTACTGTATTCATGAATACAGTAGCTTAAATACATCGAATACACTCTAAAAAACCTGAAAACATAACTATATGAAGTAATATAGTAAATGGTAGCTACAACTAGCTAATAACCACTAAAACATAGTGGTTTCTGAAAGTTTCTCTTAATTAAACAAGGTCCACTATACTAAAGTTATTTTTTTTCCTCCTTTTGTGGGATGAGGTGGGGTATGTTATCCTGATTTTCTTACAATATTTGGTTTTCCTATTTGTTGAAGGAAAGGGCAAAATATTTACCATAATTGGGTTTTCCTTCTTGTAGAAGGAAATTATAAATCTCTCATATTTGGCTAGTCCTTTTTCTTGCAAGAAAATGTTTGGAGTTCTATAAATTGAAGATCCGTCCTTCTCATTCAGTAGCATCCACAATGTAGCCATATGGGGTTTGAGAGTCGTGTTTAGGGGGAGAACTTTACAGGACAAGTGTTAGTGCGTCACTTGTGTTTGCCTCTTCGTGAGGTTGTTCTCTCGACATTTTGTACTCTCTTTTATTATAGTGGATTGCTCATTTCCGTCCGTGGACATAGGTCAATTGACCGAACCACATTATATTTTTGTTTCTTTTTTGGTATATTTCTCTTTTGTTGTCGGACTTATCGTCTTTCAAGGCTTGCTTTGCTAGATTCAGCATGACACATGATTTTTTCGATCCTAACAGTTTCTGTACTCGGGGATCAATTTTCTGGCATTTGTTAGAAAAACGGACCTTATTCTAGTTACCTAGAAACAACATCTAACTTGGACAGATTGATCAAAAATAGGCTGCAACTTAGCCATGGCATTTATAAACAAGCTGCCACAAATAATTACTCATAGTAACAAACCTCAAGAACAGAGGCGAGGCTAGGATTTAAAATTTATAGATTCAGAATTCTTGTTATTTTAAGCAAATAGGTTTTAAATTAATGATTTTTACATATTCAATAAATCATTAAGACAAATACAAAGATTTAACCAATGTTAGATTCGACCTAACCCGTCAAATTAGCTCTAGCTATCTCTCCCTACTCAAGGAGGGTGGAGAGGTGAAGATTAATTATAGGAAAAATGCATTGTATAGCCGTTGTAAATATAATAGCCGAAATAATGTATAAAATTTGTATATTTTTTGTATATATATACATTCTATATGTTATATACAAAAATTATACAGTTTTATACTTTTTCAACTATCAGATGTAAATAGTTTCTGGCGCGAGCTAAAAGTGATAATGCCCCAAGATTATATATCCTAACTCGTTGAAGAGTTCTGTAATTATTTGATGACCATGACTATCTTGTGGTATTAACGTTATGTATAACTCGTGTATGTAGTGAAGGTGAGTATAACATGACTTCATCAAACTATATATTTACTAAAAATGCAGAATATACCCCCCTTTCAGAACAAGCGAAATATTGTGAACCAAAGGTAAGTTTCATGCGCAATAGAATGTATTGTGAACGCTATGTGGTAGTATCTTTTATTGCAAATAGAGAAGGAGGACTTAAGTCAATATACTGAGAAGTTAATTAGATTTAGGAGGATCTGTCTGAATTAAGTATTTTGAAAGTAGATCAGCCAGCTTGAATAACTTTTAGTGAGAACTAAGTAATTCAATTAGCGTGGAACTACATGTGCAAAGTTTTAGCCATTAAGCAACATCACAAATCACTATACAATGACATCCTTTCACATGTATAATTAATGCATTATGGATAAATTTTCATTGTCTCATTAGTCTTTCGTAACAAACCAAAAACATTGACAAGAAAACCAAAAAGGTAATCCGATGATAACAACCATACAATTGTAAACTACTTGGCTACTGCATACGCAACATTAATTCGCTGCTTTTCCTGTCAACATAAATTGCTCTACTCCAAATTCGGCCCATTCCGCACTTCAAAATTGCAAAAGTATTCATAGATCAACTTTTGTCCCGACAAGCCCAATTTTTTGGAGAATTAATCCAAATAGCCGTCCACTTAATCTCTTAAACTAAAATGACGGGTTTACAGTACCTTAACTTTATGTTTTGATGATCTAACAAACTTACTGTCAAAGAACCAGAACCTGACACACTTGGTACACAACTCAAATCAACGGACTTAAGCTAATATGAGTTGCTATGACTTCAGAAGAAAAAGAATCAACACAGGGACCTGATCCTCTTGGGTTCCCTTGACACCAGTACGAAGTCAACTGTCTACAGCTGGAAAGTGAACTGCCTGCACTGTACACGCAAACAGTGCAGCACAATACAACAGTCACTTCTCATTGACCAACCAAGTGATTACATCGTTCAAGTGATGTCATCCAAGTTGTATTAACAAAGAGCATTACAACAAAACATCACTTGAACACTTGAGAATTCATTCAAGCACTTCAACTCTATCCATCAAGCATTCAATTCTCAAGTGCATCAAGAGCAAAGTACAACACTACTACGGACCAGTTCCTACATCAAGTATCTTGTATGTCCTTAGTTGAGTTGTAACTTTGTAATTGTTCTTCATTGTAATTCCTACTTTGCTTATCTAGAAGCTTTAATTAGGAACCCCTTGTAAACCATAAACCTTTAGTGTTTGTGTCTTGACTAGAGTTAGTCATGAGTTAAAGCCTTTGTAATAGGTGTATTGCAAAGTGGCTTGTAATAGG